CTGTGGCAAAGAAGCTGTTCCATTTTAACTCCAGGGTTCTCTTAATCAGAGATTGTCCTCTTGTTCCCATAAATTCTTCCATATTTTTATCATCAGAGGCATGTCTCAGCCGATTTGTCACTTTTACATCAATTGCTAATTCCTTGCTATAAAAAGTATTTTCTAGAGGCAAAAAATCAACGGTGCGTGCAGGCAGCTTTTCAGTTTGATGGTGTGCAGAAGAGGAGAGTTACCTTGGATCAGCAGGTCGCCTTCTGTTTTCTCCAGGAGCATTACAACCGCTTTCCTGTCTCAGTCAGCTCTGTCTGAAAGAGCTGCAAAAGATGAATTTGGCAGACTGGGAGCTGATAGACGTGGTCTCATCAGCACCGAGGAGCAGGGCCTCTGTTCCTGTTGTTTCTGAACGGTGAAAGGAAAGCTGCGTGGTGTCCTGAATCCAACCTATCTAAATATGACAGCAGGTTTTCCAGATGGCAACACTAATTTCTGTGTAACTGCTTTCCTGCCTTTCCTGTGCTAATTCATACTCTTTCAAGGACTCCGTGGTGGGGTGGGAGTGCTGCCACTGTTATCGGTCAGAACAACTAATTACTTAATAGATGGGAGTGCTCCATAGCAGACAGGCTGCAGCATAATGTCCACTGATAGTCAGTATCTACTGCCATGTGGGGGTTAAAGTTTATATCTGTAGTGTGGAATTGGCCCAATTGTAAAACTGAGAAAATGATCTGTGTGCAGGAAAGCTGTAAGGAAACTGTAGCCCACAGCAGGAGCAACTTGTTCTGGTTATCAGAAGAATGTGCTGACACTGAGACTTTTGACCAGGAGCAGCACCTGTGTAGTGCAAGAGTGGGCCTTAAATGGCTAGCTTTCTTCAAACAGATATGCTGTGTGTATTACTAAGCCCTCCATCTGAGAGGGCTTTTAATGTAATTTTATTTTTTTAATTAGAGCAGTGTTACCCAAACCATTATATGATTTCCTGTGTGGGGTTAAAAAAAATAAGCATGGAATGTGACACAGGACTGCTTAAAGAGCAGGAACACTGGTTGGGGGTGAGAGAAAATGGACGAAATTTCACATCTTTACAGTTTGGAGACAGATGCACTAGAGTGTTCAGGCACAAATTAATTCTGTCCACAGAAATTGATGGAAACTTTTTTTTTTTTTAATTAAAAATTGAAAAATTGAGGCGAGATTGCACTGATTTTTGAGAAAATGTTTTAAAACTGAAACTGTTGATGAGCAGCAATAAATTGTACTTTGCCTGTATTTCTAATCTTATTTTTCTCGTCCTTTTTCAAAAGGGGAAAAGATTTTTCCATTTGAAACTCAAGTATTTTAACTTTCAAAATGAGCCAACAGTAATACTTCTTAGGTTTTTTTTTTTTACCACTTTTGGTTTTACAGAGCTGTGGGCAGTTGTTAACAGGTTTATTAAACTTGAATAGTATCCGTTTCACAGGAAAATTGAAATGAGAAAAAATAGTATCTGTCTATATGTTTCTGAGCTTGAGGCTGATAGGCAATGCCTTATTTTTTAATCATGTGAATTGTTTTAATTCTTTGAATTACTCTTGTATCTGAGAGCCTGTGTTCTGAATTCAGTCTGACAATTACTTCTTTCCTCCTCTGCTGACTTTCAGGGATGGTAAAGGAAGATGCTGCTGACTTGGGCTGAAGGACAAATGCTGTGGTGGATGCAATAGGTTTGGAAGAACCGGACAGAAGTAGAGCAGAAAGGGAAAGGAAGGTTTGAGTAAGGCGTTTTGTATGAGAATTGGGAACTGCTCTTGCAAAAGGGAGAGCAAGGCTGAATGAGCATCCACGAGCAAGGTTGCTAGGGTCTGTGGGCAATGAGTTGTGGAATGTGGACACTGGACAATCATTGAGCATGAGAAAGAGTCTGCAAAGTGGAAACTGGTGCAGGACACAGAATGAGGAAAGAACAGTAATAAGGAGGAAGGGCAGAATGAGAGATGGCAAGAAGCTGAGGAAATGGGGGAAAAGCAGTTGAGTTTCTAGACGAAAGAGGTACACAGCTGGACTTAGTAGAGCATGCAGCATTCCGGGATCTACAAGGTAGCCCAAGTCCCAGACTTTGTAATTCCTTCACAAGGGACGTGGGGGAGAAGGGAAAGGCCAGAAAATGCTTCCAGTCTTCTCAGCTGTTAGCACTGACTGCAGCACGTGTACCTGATATAACAGTACAGTTTGTCATTTCCTCTCACAGTGTTTAGATTTGGCTTTACTTATTGGAAAGCTTCCATCCATCAAACACTGCTCAACAGAATGTGCATTTCATTACCCTATTATTGCAGCATATAAAACGTGACTACTTACTGCTACTTTTACTCCCTTAGTTCAGGTAGCAAACATCTATCTACTGCTACAAGCTTCAGCTGGGCTAATAAGTAGCGTGGGCACCAGCACTGTGGTTATTTTTCTGGATTTTTTTGTTGGGGTAGATTTGTTTGCTTTGATTTTAATCAGGCTAAGAGAACACAAATTTGCAAAGTAAAGCATTTGTACATATGTCTGACAGACATTTCATAGCCAGATATAAAGTTGCTTTTACTATCCCAGTTCAACTTCCTTATGCATACACCTTTAGAAACACCATTTGCGTGAACAGACTTCTGATCCTTGTAAGATGGACAAAACGTACTATGTCAATATGTATTAAAACACATTTATTGTCTCGTAAGTGGCAGTGTTTATTGTATGCTTCATGACCCTCACCTGAACCCTTAAGACAACAATTTAATTTACTCTTGGGAGATTGTATGGCCCATCTCACTGTACTACTGAAGTGCTTCACAAATACTTCTCACTAGAGCCACAGATAATAATCTGGAGTCATTCCTAAACTGGAACACGTTCTAAACTATAGGAAATGCAAGGAAAAACCTCCTTCCACTTATCTTAGCTACCTAATAGGAAATGCTTCTTACTTTAACTTTTCAAAATACTGCATGTGTAGTCTCAGTGGACTTTAGTTACAGTTTTTGTATACACAGTACTTAACAAATCAAATGCAAATCTAAAGTAAGAGTCAGAAAAGAAATTATGTATGACGGGAGGTCACCTGGGGAGCACTGGGATTAAACATCACAAAATCACTGAATCATAGAATGGGTTGGGTTGGTAAGGACCTGAAAGCCCATCCAGTTCCTGACAAGGGCAGGATTTCCACCCGCTAGTTCAGGCTGCCCAGGATCTCATTCATGCTAGCAATGAATGCCCCCAGCGGTGGGACATCCACAAATTCTGGGCAGCCTGTTCCAGCACCTCGCTCCTCTCAATGAAAAATTTCCCCCTGACATCTAATCTAAATGTCTCCTCTTTTAGTTTATAATGATTCCCCATTGTCCTGTCCCTATTTACTTGTCAAAAAAAGTGGATTTCCCTCCTGCCTGTAAGCTCTCTTTAAGTACTGGAAGGCCACAATGAGGTCTCCCTGGAGCCTTCTTTTCCCCAGGCTGAACAAGTCCAGCTGCCTCAGCCTGTATTCGTAGGAGAGGTGTTCCAGCTCTCTGATATCTTCATTTCCCTCCTCTGGACCCATTCCAAAAATCTCCACGTTTTTCTTGTGCCCCACACCTGGACACAGTACTCCAGATGGATCTACTGGGGGCAAGAAGACAATTGTCTCCCTCACCCTGCCAGCCACCCCTCTTTGATGAAGTCCAGAGTACTGTTAGCCTTTCAGGCTGCGAGTATATGCTGCTGGTTCATGTTGTTTTTCGTCTACCCTTAAGTTATTCTTGGTGGAGCTGCTCTCAAGGAGTTCTTTTCCCACTTAATACACACATCTGGAATTTCCCTGACCTAAGTGCAGTACCTTGTTGAATCTCATTAGGTTAACCTTTTGAGTTTGTTTAGGTTCCTTTTGATGGTATCCCTTCCTTCTGTCGTATCAACAGCACCACTCAGCTTAGTGTCTCTGCAAACTTGCTGAAGGTGCACTCAATCCCATCGTTTATGTCTATGATAAAGAGTACTGGTCCCAAGACAAACCCCTGGGGGACATCACTTGTCACCAGCCTCCACCTGGACATAGAGCCATTGACCATAAGGTTACTCAGCATCATATAAGAGGTCACTGAGGGGGAGCAGGGACTGAATTTTGAGATCAGTGCAATGGTGTAAACCATTTATAAAATTTATCTTCCCTTCCCTTGTAATATTCGCCGTATTTGTCACAGAATTTGGAGGAGTGAGAGAGTAGTCCACCAAAGTCTGATACATGTATTTCAGCAATGTCCCTCCTCTTGTAGTGTATAAGGCCAGAAACTCCACTAAGTCATCTAGCATTTATCCCCTTAGATGGAAATACAGTATCAGCAATTATACCATGGCCTGTATTGGTGATGTATCTACATCAAGTGCATATTCCTAGTAAAGTGTTCAATAAAGCTATAATCTGGACCATTAGAAATGCTGCTGCTTGCTTACACTAATTTACAACTCTTCCATCTTTTCCCCCTCTATTCAGGATATCCTTTTGCCTTGTTCCAGCGCTATTTCCTCTTCCAGAAGGAGACCTACCTCATTCATCTCTACAATGTGTTCACAGGACTCTCAATTGCTTACTTCAATTTTGGTAAGATGAGCTTTGGAAGAGAGCTACTAGGCCCTATTGCTGCAGTTTGGGAGGACCTGTAGTGGGAAAATCTCATTTTTGCTTCATCTCTCTCTCTCTACAGGGATGCAGTTCTTTCATTCACTGCTATGTGTTCTAATACAGTTTCTCATCCTGAGACTTATGGGTCGCACAGTCACTGCCATCTTCACCACGTTTGTCTTTCAGATGGTAAAATTCCCTTTCTTACTGCATCACAGAATCATAGAATCATAGTATGGGATGGGTTAAAAAAGAACCTCAAACATCATTCAGCCCCCCTGCTGTGTGCAGGTCGCCAACCACCAGACCAGGCTGCCCAGAGCCACATCCAGCCTGGCCTTGAATGCCTCCAGGGATGGGGAGATCCACAACCTCCTTGGGCAGCCTGTTCCAGTGTGTCACCACCCTCTGTGTGAAAAACTTCCTCCTAAGGAAGTTTTATGTCAGTTTGCATCAGTTTGTAGAAAGAGCTTTCTGTTCATTTTTGCAGTTCTCAGTAGCAAATATAGGTGGAAAAATGAAAACAGATCAAAAACTGCTGGAGGTTTGCTTTAAATAACCCAAATAATTATTTCTTTCAGACGTACCTTATGGCTGGCTATTACTTCACAGCCACAGAGCACTATGACATCAAGTGGACAATGCCACATTGTGTCTTGACTCTCAAGTTAATTGGTAAGCGATGCTACCTTGTTATATTTTGCATTCTGTAAGCCATGCCTCAGGGAAGAGGACTGCTTGCTTAGCCCAAATAGTCCATCATAAATCTTCAAATGATTGTTTCTCATCTCCAGGCTTGGCCATTGATTACTATGATGGAGGAAAAGATCTGGTGAGTAGAACACAGATACGCTTCCCTTCCTCTTGTTTGCTATTCCAGTGATCTAGAAGACACAAAATCAGGTTCAAAGGATGTAAGTTAGTAAGCTGCATTCATTGTTTGGCAAAAGCCAGATCTGAGAGAGGATTATCTGTGAATATCTGAGAGCACTGAATTCCAGAGTGGAAAAAAGTAATTTGGGACAGAAACTGTAGCAATTACAGAGGGGCAAAAGTTGCTTCAGCACTGAATTGTGTCAAAATATTATTCTGCCCCCTTCCAAATTCCTCACCATCTGCTTTCCCCAAATCTGTTGCTTTAGATTCCCCATCTCCAATGCTCTGTGTCTTGTGAGTAGTATTCCCTTAATGTGGAAACCATCAGCACTGGATCTCAGTTCCCATCTTCCTTTCTTTTGTTGAGTCATGTCATATCTTCTTGGATTTTTGCCATTTGTTCTGGCCCTGTTATTAGAGAAGATTACATAGTGACAGAAGTCACACAGCACAGTGTGTGGAAGAGGACAGAACACTTATTACAGTCTCTTAATACTACTTCAGGTGTCTTTGTTTCTCACCTCCTGTACAGGCCCTGATCCAGCGTTCAGTGTCCATGCAGTCATCACAAACTGCAAGAAAAAAAATGTTCATCTGAAATCTCTTAAGCAGAAGTTTCAAGTATTTGAAGACATTAAATTCTTGCATCAAGAAGTAGGAACTGTAGGACAGCATGGTCTGGGTACATACTGTTGCAGTCAGGGATTGGTAATGGTCAGATACAGAGCTTTTACTGTGCATCTGTGCTGGCAGGGATGCATGTTCACAGATTTCTTCCTTGTTTTGAGCTTTTTTGGGAGTATAGATCTATGCAGCTGGTCTCAGCTGTTAGATCTTGTTGCTATTTGGAGGGACTGGAGATTGTGATAGCAATGAGGAGAGGAATGAACATGAAGTACTAAGTTAAAAGTTCCCTGTATGTGGAGAGTAAGAGCTTAGACCATAAAGGAGATGCACTGAAACATAACATCCAGAGCTAAGTATGACAATCCTTAGGATGATGTTAATCCCATCCCTTTGGTGCAGGAGTTCCTGACCCCTGAGCAGCGTCGATTTGCTGTCCGGGGAGTTCCTACCTTGCTGGAGGTCTCAGGATTCTCCTATTTCTATGGTGCCTTCATGGTGGGGCCTCAGTTCTCCATGACAGACTATCAGAAACTGGCAAAGGGTGAGATGACTGACGTTCAAGGCCAGAGACCCAATAGGTAATGAGATCCACTTAGCTCCTTGCTTTCCTAAGATCCCAGAATGCTGAATCCTCCACGCATTCCCTGCAGCAGAGTGTGTTCTTACCTGGACACTGAAATACTGTGACTAAAAGTGATTTATAAGAGAAGGCAGCCATTCAGAGGGTGCTCATAAACTCTGCATAATTTCCTAGCATTGTTCAGGGGCCAAAACGTTAACATTTGACTTGTTTAGTACAGACTCAATTCTGACCTGGAATACGGTCAGCATCCCAGCTTCCAAGTAGAGGCATCTGCTGCAGTGGAATGTGGTAACCCCCTGTCACCGTCTCCCCAAACTCCTCATTTCCACTTCTGTTTTTAAACAGGGCTTTTCCTTGACCTTCATATTTTTCTTTCTCAGTTTTGTGCCTGCTCTCAAGCGCCTGAGTTTGGGTCTCTTATTTCTAGTGACCTATACCTTGTCAAGCCCATACATCTCTGATGAATACCTCATCTCAGATGATTACATGGTATGTATATATTTGACAGTTCTGATATGTGCAAGAATTCTACTTCTCTGGAGGGCACTGGATCTACAGGAGTAGAGGAAGGCCATTGTACTTTTTAGGTTTGCCTCAATTCAAAAAGAAGATAAGTCAGCAACTAGTGCTATGCCTTTTACTAATGGAGAATTCATCTTGGATAGTACAGCTGTTTTTGGAATCCTAATGTGTATTTTGTTACTTTTTAGTAACTGTTTAACCATCACACAAAGAACTCTGCCGTAGTAGTTTCCAAGGCTTTTTAAAATTTGAAGATGGAGGTTCATTGTGTAGACTCTATTAGGTGAGCTATCCTTGAGTACAGGCTAGCTTTGAAAGAAAAACTTGATCTGCTTCTCTCAACAGTGTATTTTGTGTAGAGGGATGCAGCAGCAGATTCTCCAGGTTGACTCATTTGAATTAAAAATTTACAGGGTCTTTGGGGTTCTTTGAAAACTCCTAACAAGCAATTCCAATCTGCAGATTATAGAATTACAGTATCCTCAGAGTTGGAAGGGACCATTAAAGATCATCTAGTCCAACTCCCCTGCAAGGAACAGGGACATCAGTCCCTGTTCATTCTTTCTGTACCAGTGTGAATAAATGAGGGTATCAATTCCCACAGTGATTATGCTAATTCCAGACTACGTGTGTCGGTACAGTCAAATATCACCAAGGGAAGTAAAAAGGTGTATGGATTCATATAACCCTGTAGCCTGCTAGTCCAGTTTATTTAGTGTCGCAACATACTGATTAGATTAATATGAAAGACAGTAATGAGATCTCAACTATCCACCTTTTATATAGCCAGAACTCATTCATTTTCATGTTTAATTTGCTCTATCTCTGCAGGAGAAGCCTTTCTGGTTCCGCTGTGGTTACATACTGGTCTGGGGCAAAATTATACTCTACAAATACGTAACTTGCTGGCTTGTTACGGTGAGTCAGAAGTATTTCTAGAAACAAGACAAATGAACAAAGTTAGCACCTCTGAAGTTACAAAGTATGCTTTTGGTTGGACTTAGCACTAAACTGAAGAAATTCAAGTATCTGGGTATCAATGCAGATCAGTGTAGTTTGCTCTAAGTAAAGCAAGGGTTAACTAATCAAAAAGAGAAGATTTTAACCCATTTTCTCCATCTGCAGTGGTACTGTCCACACATTTCTGAGCACAGAATCAGAATGTCCCCAGCTCTGCCTTTCAGGAAAAAAAAAAAGAAAAAAAAGTGATGTATTTTTATTATCCTTCCTCTGTCTTTTTCTGTAGGAAGGTGTCTGCATCCTTGTTGGTCTAGGGTACAATGGGACTGACCAGAGTGGAAAACCTATGTGGGATGCCTGTGCCAATATGAAGGTCTGGCTGTATGAGACAACACCTTTGTTCACAGGGACCATTGCTTCTTTCAACACCAACACCAATGCTTGGGTGGCCCGGTGAGCAGGAAAAATTTCTACTTCTGTAATGTCAGTAGTACCTATGTCAACAGAACCAAGATCATAAGTTGAGAAGGGAGTACTCAGCATCTGCTAGTTCTCAGTTCTCACCCTACTCCTATTTGAAACAGCTTACTGAGTTGGGTAGATCTTTGAATCCAACTTAAAAAGGCAGTTCTTTGTTAAGAGGCAAGAAGTTGAAAATGGCAAAAGCTGGAGGGGGGGGCTAGAATGGAACTACAGTGGGCTCTCTAGCCTTCTTGGTCAAACAGTTGCAGAACAGGTGAAACAGTTGCCAAACTGATCTAGTGGCTGATGCAGTTTGGCAGCTGTTTCCTGCTTCTTGATGCCTCCTATGCAATGACACAGCTTTTTGGTTCAGATCTTGCTGGACCACAACTGAATTGTCAAATATCCTCATTTCTGTGAGTGTTGTCAGAAGAACCACCTATACCCACTAGCTGGCATTTAAGATAAAGACTGAAGTGTAAGTTGCCCCCAGTTTCTGAGGGCAACTACTGTCTAGCTGTTTCTGTTACCACAGGGAAACGTGAAGACACGGTCCCCTGGGCCTTAGATCTCTGACATGGAGAGAGGATAAACAATGTACTAGAAGCACTTTGTTTCTACTCTGCTCTAGCTACATCTTCAAGCGCCTGAAGTTCCTGGGTAACAAACTGCTCTCACAGGCACTGGCCCTGTTCTTCCTGGCTATTTGGCATGGACTACACTCTGGCTACCTGGTGTGCTTTCAAATGGAGCTGCTTATAGTCATCGTTGAAAAACAGGTGCGCCTTGTCAGACTCAGCAGAATGAGGTCACCTGCGTTAACCTTTCCCCTTGAGTCTGGAAACTCCACACTGAAGGGTTTAATAACTGCTCACTTAGAAATTGGTGTTCACAATGGTACTGTTCTGGTCAAAGGTTCAGTAAGTTCCTAGCTTAACACTGGCAAGCCATAGCTTTCTTCCCATCAGCTTTTACAGTACAACTAGCACATGAGCATATTGGAACTGAAGTGCTTGCCAGTTGGGAAGGTTGGAAGACAAGCACGTGAGAATGCCTCTGCTAAATCTCTGATAGTGAAAGAAAAACATTCCATATTTAGCCTTTTCTTTTTTGATTAAAACTTCAAGAATAGGGTACTTAGTTTTTTGTTGCCGGTTACCAAAGTTAATTAACAAAGATGGTCTGGTTGCAGAGCCTACAGACACAACCGTTAAGACATCCAACTGAGAAGAGCTTTATTTTTTCTTTACATTAGGTTATAAACCTTGTTCGGGACAGTCCTACTTTAAGCACTTTGGCCTCCATCACTGCCTTGCAGCCTATTTTCTATGTGCTACAGCAGACTAACCACTGGATGTTTATGGGTTATTCTCTGGTGCCATTTTGCCTTTTCACCTGGGACAAATGGATGAAGGTATTTATTAACCTTAAACACACAGTCTATGCAACCAGTCCCTTTTACCCCTGTTGCCCTCTCATGTGGTCTTAGCTGAAGTCTGCTTGCTGACCCTTAGCCCCTTCTCTTTGCAGGTGTACAAGTCTATTTATTTCCTCGGCCACGTGTTGTTTTTCACGTTATTACTGGTGTTGCCTTATATTCGCAAATTACTTGTGCCACGAAAAGAAAAGCTAAAAAAAGCAGAATAACAGCCAACAGGTAAGGTTGTGCTACTTTCAGGGACACCTCGCAGGAATCCCACACTGGGACGAGGCGGTGAAGTGAAACAGCAGCGTTACAGCCCTGAAACAAGACAACTGAAACAAGTCTAATAGCTCTTTCTTTTTCAGATTGTACCACCCATGCATTGGTAGGAGTTGATTTAACACTCCAGAAGCAAAGCACCACCTGCCAAGTTTGCTGTGTTGAAGTATGACTTTTTTTTTTCCAACGTGAGGAGGGGGAAAAAGAGAAAGCACAGGGTCAAAGACCCAAAAGGAGGGGAATGGAGTTGTCTCCCTCCAGACCCTCCACTTTCTGTATGTTGCCTTATCTCTCTGCCGCCCTCCAGTGGACACTCTCGTCTCTCTGCTGATATCAGATGATTGTAAAACACTCAACACGGGCACTATATTGGAATGGAGCTACCCTCTGACTTTTCTACGTTTGTCATCCAAGATAAAGTTGCTCCTGTTCTTTTTTCATATCTGCTTCAGCTCATTTCCTCCAGGGTGCATCAGTGTGGGAGTCATGAGCTGTCACACACTACAGTGAAAGAGCTGCTGGGCCCAGCTAAGAACTTTGGTTCCACAACAAATTTGGATTTGCTATCAAGGGTGATATCCACGCTGTTCATTTACAAAAAATTAAGTACAAAACACAGTCTTATGAAAAGTTACCTTTAATAGGAGGAAAAAGGGTTGGTGGGGCACCTCCATGTAAAGTTGCATTGCTCCAGGAGCTACAAAGAAGAAACTGAAGCTTTTCCTTTTCAGGAGCCCAAAGCTGCACCAGGTCCACAAAGAACTAAAAAAAGCCTCTCCAGAATCTGGAGTCACTGTATAGCAGTCCATCATGACAGCAGCAGAGACAAGTTCATACTACTCCCCAGGCTTCCTCAAAGGCAGTAGTAATTTTAGCACACGTGAGGGCAGCAGAGAGGGGATAGTTGCTGATAGAGATCATCTTTTCTGTATAGTCCACATTGACCTGGGGGGAGAAAGAAGAGGAAAATACATATCTGACTGTATATCAAGCTGCACACTATCACTTAATCCCATCTACTTTCATCCGTTTCAGAGGCACATCATTGCTCCTATATGACCATGGTTCATCCAAGACTTAGTATTGCCACGTTAAAGCTCCTCAAAGCAATTGATAGCCCTCTCTTCAGTGAAAGGCCCAAGTATCACAGAGCTGGGCAGTTTCTTAACAGGACTATAGCAGAGAAGGGGTTGCAGGAAAAGCTCCCACAGAATAGAGAAGTTTAAAAAACCAACCAAACAAAAAACCTCAAAAATGGCACTAAAACCTACAATCATAAATATATTTACAACTCTTAAGTAAAAAGGCTACATGCACTTACTGAACCGTGGGCAAAAGCTCCCACAACAATAGTTACTGGCTCTGCTGTAGGAACCAGTTCACGCAGATCTGTCACATTTGGAACTGCAAAAGAGGTACCTATCTTCATACAGCCCACAGGTAGATGGTCACTGACTGGATTTTTAATAACCTACAGAAAAAAAAAAAATTAATAGCAGTGCAGAGATAAGAGGCTCTGTCAGATAGACAAGTCCACAATTTATACTGCACTTAAAGCAAATACATTACTGGCTGCAAAGAGGAATCTTGCACCATTACCTGTAAACAGTGAACGACTGCTTACCTTCAACAATTTCTGAGGACCATCAGCTGCTCGAACGCTAAGCTTATGCAGCAACTGAACTGACAAAAGAGAAGAACATTAGTTAAGCAGTCTGTTCTCTTGCTGGAAGAAGCATATTCTCTGCCTGCTGGTGAGAGCTCAACTAGAAAGAACTTCAGAGTTCCCAGCATCTTCTAAAGAAGTTTTAAAAAAAAAAAAAAACAAAAAAAAACACTGATCGGAGAATTATTTTGCCATTAGCATACTCTCATGCAGGCAACTCCCTACTGTACTAGGAAGTATGGTATGTATTCCGAGTATGTGGCTGGGAATTCACAAAAAGAAACTTTCATTTCCCTTCTCTCTCTCTCTTTTTTTTTTTTTTTTTTTTTTTTTTTGAGTCAGTGTAACTTCTTAATTTTTCACAAAACTCTTCTGCTCCTAACCACCACCCTACATAACTCTGTGGCCAGTACAAAGCATGAATCGCTTACCCATAAGACCACAGAATCGATCAAACGTTCTTGGGATCCTGGTCTGAGGATTAACTTCAATTAAAACATTCTTTTGGGTATGGATGTAAACTTGCAGAAGACCAGCCCGATTCAGAGGGCTATCCATAAGCATGAGAAGACTCTGAAACAAGACAGAACAAAAATGTAGTAGAGGAAATTGAAAAGGTGCAAGGGAGGGATCTTGGAAAAGACTACACGACTGCATACGTGACAAGAGACAGAGTGGCCATACAAGTACTCCTGTTATGCCGAGAAACAAGCAATCCCATACATAAATAAATAGAAACACACGTTATTAAGCACAAGTATGGTGGGTGAAGCTAACTTCATTCCCGCCCCAGGGCCATAAGACGATACCCCACACTCCAGGGGCACTTTCCTGCAGCGAGTGCCACACCGGCATGGCCCCACACGCCCTAGGGCAGTCCATGCTGCCAGTACCTAGGCGGTACCTGGTGGGTGATGTCGGGCCGCACCTCTCCGGGGTCCCGGCCGCTCCGCAGCAGCAGCGCCTTATGCTTGTCGCAATTAAGGAGTTCGAACGTCTTCCCCACCTAAGGCCAAAGCACGGACAGTTTGACAACAGAAACCGCGGAGTATCCCCCGGCCCGACCCCCTCCGTCCGCACCTTCACTGTCTCTAGGCTCGCCCCTTCCAGCACCACCAGAAGCCGTCGCTGCCCACGGACGCGCTTAGCCTCTAAGGGAACATCATCCTCCTCCTGCTCCTTCTCCCCACGCGGCCGCCTGGGCGCCGCCATTTTGTCCAAGCCGCACAACGCAGCGTCACCACCGCGAGCGCCGCCAATGGCCGCCGCAGCCGCCCAAGATGGCACCCTTCCCCTCCCTCCCCCTGGGACCACTTCCGGAGCGCGGCGGAAGGCAGCGGCAGCTTCCGGTGTCCTTCCTGGCGGGGCGCGCGGCACGGCGCGGCCATGGCGCAGAGCCTGAAGGACCTGGCGGGGCGGCTGCCGGCTGGGCCGCGTGGCGTCGGCACCGCCCTCAAGTTGCTGCTGGGCGCCGGCGCCCTGGCCTATGGAGTCCGCGAGTCCGTTTTCATCGGTGAGTGCTCCCCGGGCTCGCGCCCCGTTTTTCCGTG